TTGACCGTTTCCGAGAAATAAATTTTGCAAAGTGCCGAAAAAATCGATTTTCGAGACCTTTTTGAACAAAACCTGAAATAATTAGTTAACATTGTTGAAAATGGCAGGGAGTGCATTCATACCTTTATGGAGTCCCAATAAACTATACGTGTCGTTCCCTGCCATTTTTGATAATATTTACCCTCCCTTTGCCCACCCCTAACATATATAAATCATAGGACTGTAGTGGTGGCACATGACGTCATTAAACGTATTGTAAATCGTATAATTTATATATGTTAGGGGTGGGCAAAGGGGGGGTAAATATTATCAAAAATGGCAGGGAACGACACGTATAGTTTATTGGGACTCCATAAAGGTATGAATGCACTCCCTGCCATTTTCAACAATGTTAACTAATTATTTCAGGTATTGTTCGAAAAGGTCTCGAAAATCGATATTTTCTGCACTTTGCAAAATTTATTTCTCGGAAACGGTCAAGCAGAAACGGCAGGGAATTTTTTTGTACATTTCAAATATTGTAATGAACAGTTCATTAAATATTGAAGCGGTAAAGTGAGTTCAAAAAAAAAATTTTTTTTTTTAATTCATTGCTCCGAACCGAACCGTATGTTTCGGCAGGGAAAAAAATTTTGACATAAAAATAAGGTATAATCTTTCATAATACCGCAATTGGGTTCGGTAAAGTTACTAAAAAATAATCGTTTTCTTTCCTATGCTATAACTCCGCTGGACTTAATTTGGGGCTAAGGTAAAAGCACCAGTACGTGAAGACTTTTTCCATAAAGTCTTTGTTTTCTCATTTTTATTGAATTTCTGATTTGCATAACAACAAAACAGTCATTGCGCGAGTAAGTTTATATTTTTTTCTTTAAAAAAAAAAAACAAAAAAGTTTTTTGGTTCATGTGTACAATTAATAAATTAATTTTGATGCTTTTTTACCTTTTAAGTAAGTTTTTCCACTTATTATTTCAATTAAATAAATACCAGTAACTTTATTTGATTAATTAAGATTGTTTACTTGAGATTAGATAAAACTCATATTTTACGTTAAAAAGCATAAAAAACTTTTAACGCAGTGGGTTGTGGGAGATTAGGTATTTGGATTTTATGTTTTCGGTCTTTGCGCGCTGTGTCTTCGAGTTTTGGACGTCCGAACGATGCGCAAACGCTTGGCCAATCAGAACCTGGCTACGCACACGTGTGCGCGAGTTCTCAGCACAATCTCGGCACACTGGTTGGCGGCTGGTTAAAATTTTGACCACCCTTTGGCCTTAGCTCTTGGTCTAGTACCTGTACTCTTGTACCAATGTACCCTAATGCTGTCCTAAGGGCAAAAGAGACCACTGCTGGTCACGGCGGCCCTTCTGCAGCTTTCTCTTGCACGTGACATCATCTCACAGTTGTGTGAGTTAAATGTGGATAGCTGAGATAGCTTACAAGCTCACTCTATTTTTATATCTCTATGTCCTATAAATCCCACATCCGAGCGCTCCGAGTTCCCGACCACTTCGACCAATGAAAGCGAATTAAACATTAAGCGTGGACAGTCATGATTGGTTCAAAACGTATTTAAAATTTTGAAATCTGCTGCATGATAAAAGCTGTCGTCTGTTATCTTATCTTATCAATTACTGCTCTTTCTGGTTGCACTACCGTTTGTTCACGAAAATTGTTGCCGTTAATGTAGTCAACAGTGTCGTCATACTTCTTTGTACACACGGTGATTAACAATTTTTCGCAATTTCGTGCCTGTAATTTTTTTTTCAGCGTGATTGATTCACTTTAAAATATTAGACGTACGTAATTCAGAATGAATTGGCTGAAAAAATTAGATTTTTTTTTCAGAAAGTAAGTATATTATTTGGCTTCAAAAATTAGGTGATTTGTAAATTAGTAAATTTCAGCAGGTTTTCATCATAACATAATTTCTAGTAAAGTAAGTGATCATAACATCTATTAAAAGGGTATCATTAGATTCAATGTAGTAATAAGTCGTTACATAAAATAGCGTTGGTCATAATATTTGCACCTTTTTCTCTATTATTGTAAATCTGCACCATCTTAATAACAAAATAACAAGTATCTATTGGAAAATAAAGCAACATAAATCACATTTACAGTTATTTTAATCAAATTTATTTTTTGCTATGTGTAAACAAATTTATTTTAACCCCAATTAAATTTTTTTTCTTCAGTGACTCATTATGTTCAAGGAAGTTTTCTGGTGCAATGGTCCATTGTGCAAAAATAGATAAAGTAAGTACCATGCAAAAAATTGTCAGGGGTAACAATAAAAACCTGTGACCTTATTGCCTGTTAACATTAATTTTGTATTATATCTATTTTGCCTTTACACTACAGATATTGATTGCCAACAGAGGAGAGATAGCTTGTCGCATTATAAAAACAACTAAAAAGCTTGGCATTAAAACTGTAGCGATTTACAGCGATGCAGATAAAAACTCTCTGCATGTTGAATGTGCCGATGAAGCTTATTATATTGGCTCAGCACCTTCAGCTGAAAGTTATTTAAAACAAGACGCAATTATAACTACAGCACAAAAAGCTCAATGTCAAGCTATTCACCCTGGGTATGGTTTCCTGTCAGAAAATACAGAGTTTGCGGAATCGTGTCAAAAGCAAAATATAATTTTTATTGGTCCATCTGCTAAGGCTATCAGAGAAATGGGAATCAAAAGTACATCCAAGAATATCATGATTAAGGCTGGAGTACCAGTTATCAGAGGCAAGTGATTTTTGTTTTGTTAAGGGCAGTCTGGAAAAATTTGAAGTTTTTTCCCTAATCGATATTATTATTTCTTAGCCTTATAACATCATTCATTAAATACCTATGGCTATTTTCTGAAAAAAAAGGAGTTGAAGCACATTCTTGACATTTTTCAGAATAATTCTAACCTACACTCGGCGAGATTCATTAAAAATTGGATGAGAAAGACGTAAAGTCAGATGTCAAACGAACTTTGTATGATCGGATTTTTTGCCTTTCTTCCTTAAACTACAGTGGATTGTACTAAAATTAATTTTAAATTACTTTATGATGTAAAAATGATGTGCGTCAACCCCTTTTATTCGCGTAAAAATAAGCAGAAAAAATTCAAGTATGTAAGATTTTTGGTACTAAAATCTTGTTAAAGCAATGGCACGTAATTTTAGGCCGAGACACTTTAATGGCAGGGCCCAGGTATTTGAGATCCTGGGACGATTCCTAACCTTTCGTAGATTTAAACTTATAGCCCCAAATTAAGTTCAGAGGAGTTATAGCATAGGAAAGAAAATGATTTTTTTTTAGTAACTTTACCGAACCCAATTGCGGTATTATGAAAGATTACCGCATTACCTTATTTATATTCCAAAATTTTTTTCCCTGCCGAAACATACGGTTATTATTATTTCAGATATTGTTCGAAAAGGTCTCGAAAATCGATTTTTTTCGGCACTTTGCAAAATTTATTTCTCGGAAACGGTCAAGCAGAAACGGCAGGAAATTTTTTTGTACATTTCAAATATTGTAATGAACAGTTCATTAAATATTGAAGCGGTAAAGTGAGTTCAAAAAAAAAATTTTTTTTTCAATTCATTGCTCCGAACCGAACCGTATGTTTCGGCAGGGAAAAAAATTTTGACATGTAAATAAGATATAATCTTTCATAATACCGCAATTGGGTTCGGTAAAGTTACTAAAAAAAAGTCATTTTCTTTCCTATGCTATAACTCCGCTGGACTTAATTTGGGGCTATAAGTTTAAATCTACGAAAGGTTAGGAATCGTCCCAGGATCTCAAATACCTGGGCCCTGCCGTTAAAGTGTCTTGGCCTAAAATTACGTGCCATTGCTCTGAATA